ACGTCTGCCAAATTTTCTTTGGTCATTAGCTGAAAAAATACGGCAATTCCATGAGGACGGCCGTGCTTTGGAACGAACTATAGTTAGTATATGGCAGAATTTTCAGGAAGTCACACAGACTCCTGCATATGTCAAATCAGGGAGTCCGACACCGACAGTAAATCAGGGAGTACATATATATTTGACTCTGGACTCCCGTTAATTTCTCACCCTGTATGTGATCACACATACCGTGATCGGTGATGGCCACATATATATATTTATGGGCTAATAAATAAACCATAACATGCTGCTGTACTCAGGCACAATGAGCTGTATCAGGGGAAAAAATACACGGGGGCGGCGGGCGATTTCGCCCCCGAAATGCCAAAAAGAGCCCCCGAAAACATGATATCGGGGGCGACCCCAAAAGCAAAAGTCGCCCTGGAAATCGATTGTCCAGGTCGGTCCCGCGCCTTGCCGATCTCGCTCGGCCTCGGCCGCTAGTGGCAGCCGGTTCCACGGCGCGGTAGAATTCCTGGTATGGTGTGGCTGTCAAGTGTTTATCATTAAGCATGCATGTGTGTACTGTACTGTATTGCATTCAAACAAGAGTGCATAATAGATATAGATCTCTATTATGCACTCTTGATTCAATCAAGCGCGCGCCGCCGCCCGCGTTTTGCGCAACTTATCAGATCGTGCGCTTTGAGTGGCGCCACCGTCGTTGTAATCAAACTGTAGTCGTTAGTTTTAAAACAATTTTTAATAATATTTCTAATCGTGATTGAACCATGAAACTTTTTATGTAGCGTAATTATAACCTAAATTAGAACCTGAAAATAACCCTAGAACTTAGAGTAAACTCTCCCTTTAAGCAGAATTCTTTGTTCTCTAAAACAAGACCAACCGCTTGTTAATACGATACTCCTAGGCTGAGATATTGGCTCGTAAACCTCCCCTCCCACAGGCCTCACGGCGCCTCGAATCCACATCAGTCACCATCCTACTCGCCCCTAAGCAATTTGGCTATCGGTTTCCGCCACCGCTTGGAGCGCTGATAATTGATGTCACATGCCCAAATTTGGTACTCTTACTACACCATATAGTAACTGAGCTGCATTGTAGAGACTTAATTTAGAAAACATTGCCTGCTCCATCATGACGGGCATTAGCCGTGCTAGGAAAGATAATGGGAGATAAGGGCATAGGCGATGCCCCCGAAAGTCACCTATGATAACCGAAACGCCGTTCATTCATAAAGTTATCGCGGAAAAACCGAACTCTCACGAAGCAACCTTGGCGGCGAGAAGGATGGTGACTGATGTGGATTCGAGGCGCCGTGAGGCCTGTGGGAGGGGAAGTTTACGAGCCAATATCTCAGCCTAGGAGTATCGTATTAACAAGCGGTTGGTCTTGTTTTAGAGAGCAAAGAATTCTGCTTAATGCAATACCATAAAATTATTTTAGACTCGCAGGCAAAGTAGAATAATTATGTCGTAAAATAGCACTATTTTCCTGTTTTTCCGTTGTACACTCTAGGTATTATTAGCTCTTGATACAATACATAGCATACTTTTACAATAAAATTCTGAATTCATAAAATTGGATAACTACCAAGATGTAACTGCTAAAACGTAAACGGTAATAGCGGCTATAGCTAGGTTGTGCTTTCTTTATATATCATAACACCACAGTATGCAACCCTCCCAAAGACAAATAACTTGGAAAATACTATGTATCCGTATATTTATCGCTCTTCTATTCCCATATATGTTACATTGGTTATAAATTAAATTGTATACAATTATGGAAAGTTTGTTTGAGCGTGTATATGAATTTGGCGAGATTATACCTATAAACATCCTAATGTGTCAGATATTCTCGAATTCGCCAACAGTGTGGATTAAATCATAGATAGACATATCCGGCTTAAATTAGACAAGCAAGCCGACGTGCTCTGATTAAAATATGTAAAGTATACATACAACATCATATCATACAACAAGTGCCGCAGAGCGACAGCGCTCATCTAACGTCTACTGCGGTGACTCTGTGGTGGAGTGGTGGGATTCTAGTAAACCCTGTTAGTCCCAAATGTGTTCACATACGCGCCGAAACAGTGGAAGGCACAGGGATGGTATCAGGAACCTTCTCAAAGGAATGTTCGTTGGGATCGTTATGAAAGTTGCCACAAGATGGCACGTACGTTTAAGTGTCTTAAGATTAAAGATGGAAGCTCCCATCGTACGTAGTAGAACAACTATTTTCAAGAAAATAGGTAAGCACTCATCCATTTACCTACGCAAGCCTACAGGCTGAAATAGAGAGCTGCACCTGTAACTAATTAACGCAGCGCAAAACTACACGAGTCTATCACCACACATGCACTGGCATGGCCACTGGCAGTGGCATAAGTTACATGTAACACACTGACAGTACAGAATGCCATAGAAATTATACGATTTAAGGAGCATAAACCTTCTTCAACCAAATTTAACTTTTGAAATTTCACTGTGCATTGTAGCCTCATACATCCAGGCACTGTATAGAATCTACTAGCAAACCGGCAGTCAAATTCTTTCTAACAGTAACAAATCCATGTGTAACCCTCCTCTTGAGGGTCAAAAGGTTATCCGACACTTACTCTTCGCATGTCAGCAGAAAGTACATTTCATAGTTTCCAATAACAGCCATAAAAATGCTAGTCACCGCTTAAACTAAAAAGTTTTCAATCGCTCCGTCAGACTATGTCCTCAGAAAATGTCTAAAATCTGCCCTGTGCCCCATTGACCTCTTGACCTGTGACCTCCAATTTCGCACAGTGAGGCTTTTCCTACCATGATGCTATACACGACTATCACGAGCCTAGGTCAGCCATTTAGATCCC